TATAGGAACTATGGCATATAAATGAGTTAAATGAAATGATCAAAATATCCTCGAATTTTAAAATGATCAAAATACCCTTGAGTTTCAAAATTACTGAAATACTCTTGAGTCCCAAAATGACTGAAATATACCCTCAAGTTTCAAAATGAATTAAATGCCCTTATAACTTGGGAAAAAGTGAATGTTTTTGGATAAAATTCTAGAAATGTAGATGAACTAAAGAGTTGATTCACCTCTCAAGGTTTTGGAGTACAACATAATTATGTCGACCAACCCTAATATTACTATAATACTAGAAAGAGATACCACATAAATACATATTGTCTCCTTGAGGTCTGTTTAGTGATGATTTCTAAAGGTGATCAGTTTAGCTATAAGATAGAGTCAGTATTACGAAATAGATATTTATGAAGTGTCCCTGTCTAAATATTTGGTTAGTACCACATCGTTGGATCTGTTTAGTTGGACTGGACATAAAAGTCTGATAAGTCGTTAAAAATATTGAATACTGCAAATGACCATTACACCCTTATTAGGTTGATTTACTAAAATTTCTTCAGGAATCAAAATATCTAAAATGCACTGATGGCCTAAATAATAGAATCACTCCTGATATATGTGAATATTAAATAGTCATGATGTAATAATTCTTGAATACCCTTATGATATATTTGAATCCTAAATGGTTCTAATGTATCAACTTTCGAATGTATGATTAGATTTATTAGCTATCGAATCCCCTTTTAATAAGGATCACAATTCAGAAATCGGTAAAAATTGTTCGAAGTTTTCTGTTCCCTTTCTTGTAACTATAACTAAGCCCAGATGTGTTCATGATGTTGTTACATTACTTTTCTGATTTACTTAAATGCATTACTCTGAATTAACTGATTTTCATTTTAATGGCATAACCTCTAGCTACCATTATTTATTTGATCTGTGAACATGTTTTAGGATTATTATTTTTATTTAATGAATTAAATCATTGATTACTTTTAAATACATATTTTTACTTCTTATAGGGTTATTGTCGGAGAAAATATTTTATTTTAGTCTATGTCTTGTATGACCTTAGCGTAGACTCATTTTCTTTATGCATATAGTAAGTCCTTATCGCATGTCCTTATGCTATATGCAAAATCCTTACATCAGGTCCTTATGCTAAATGCATAAACTCCTTACCGAGTATACAAGTGGATTTATGGTTCAATTTGAACCTACACATTCTGGTGTTCGGATGGATGGTAGTTAGATGATTTTTAAATTTAACTTTATCGTCTCTTTAAAAGCTTGTTTCAGTAAAATAAATTATTATTGTTTACAACTATTTGTACATTTTTCTCTACAACGATGGAACACATAAGTATCCCTAACTCAATATCCGTAATCTATCCATGTTTGATTCCATCGATCTATAAACTTTCTGAATGTTACATTTAGGATCAATTAGTTAAATTTTCAAATCATAATTTGAAATTGTAGATGCCTGGATCAATAAGAAATTTTTTATGTTTTTATATATATCTAATTGTGACCTTTAGCATCATCTGGTAGTTCTATATTACTGAGCTTTTACCAAAGCTCGTTCTATTATTTACCATTTCAGGTTAAAATAAATTAAGAATGATACAGTTATATACATGAATAATGAGAGTTCCTTCGGCTTAGCCTGTGGAGTAAGTCACATGTAATTAGATGGCATGTAGGCCATATATTATTTTTATATTAGAATCTAAATTTGTTTTTATACAATGTGTTATTGAATCTTGTTTAGATATATGAACAATTTTTGAATTTATATAATTTATATTTAGAAATTATTTTATGATTTTAAATGGTCTGATACAATTTTATGTTTTTTTGGATTTTTATTGTGGATCGTTCTGGTGGCCCAAATATGACACCTCGGATTGAATCGGGTTACTTGTATATGTTTGAGGGTGTTAAAAAAATATAATGCAGAAAACACTTTATGAAAATTAATCCTAGAAATTAAATATAATAAAATACATATAAATATAAAACTTAAATCAAAATCCTACATAATAAATACTCAAAATAAATATATTTATTTTTACTTTTTCTATATGCATCATGTTAATTTTTAATAAGTATTAAACAAAATTAGAACCACGATCTGAATTAGTTGATCAATAGATCATATACCGATGATTAGTTTAAAATTTTTGAACCATGATAAAAAATAAAATAAATAAAATAGATTTATACAAATGCACTTTATGCAAAAAAATGATGAATTATTTTGAAATAACCATATTATTTCAACTTCATTATTGTCTTCAAGAGAGGGAATTGTCTAATACCTTAAAAATAAGGGAAATGACATTGTCGAGAAAAGTCCAAAAAATTACTACTGTAGGGAATGTTGTATTACTCCTTAGAGGGAATGTTCCTAAACCAAACTTGGGTACCTGACTCCAAAAAATATTATCCCCTGATAATAATCTTTGTCTTAAACCAAATGCCCTCTTAAGGAAGTAATTAAATAAAATGATATAATTTAGGGACTTTTGGCATTTGAGCATTCTTTAATTAAAGTGTACCTTCAAATTAAATGTGATATCTTTAAATAGAAAAAATGCAATGCATTGAATTAGAAATAACTCTTTTTTTATAATGTGAGTTACTAATTAGATATGGATTGAGATTTGATAATTGAAAGTATACCTTCAAATCAAATGTGATATCTTTAAATAGCAAAAATGGAGTGCATTGAATTAGAAATAATTTTTTTATAATGTGAGTTAGTAATTAGATATGGATTGAGATTTGATAATTAAGAATAGATTTACTTTCCTAGTTTGTCTTGTTTCCTTTTAAGTACTAAAAATGCTATTATATAATGAGGAATTGAGAGGTTAAATAGAGACCATTAATCCATTATAGATTAAAAAAATACCAAGGTTTTGGAAGAGATATTAGAATGAGTTCTTTTTCACTAAAATGTTGCTTTGTGGGTCTTCTATGTTTGGCCACCGTCCTCTTCAACATAGGTAAACTCCTTGCTCATTCTATCGTTCATCAATCTTAATATATCATTATATATTAGTTTCTATTTCCTTTTTGCCATTTGATTTTGAACATTGATTATTATTTGGGAGTTTAGAAAAAACAAGTGCACAGGAATGGGAAGTAGTAAAGGGACCATGTTCACTGTTCACAGATTGCAATATGTATTGTCTCAACCACGGCTTTCCTTTGGGAGGGTTCTGCAAAGCGTTGAATCCAAGTGCTCCACCTGCCTGTTTATGCAAACTCACATAGGCCTTTCCTTCTTCCACCTGGTTTAGTAGAAAATTGAAATAAAAATATCTAGAACTTGAAACTCTTGAAAAAAAAATGCTTATATAATTGTTCTAACTATGAATTTAGCCTTTACGCAAACTACAATTTGAACTAATTATCTCTACAAATATATAAACAACTGAATCAAATGTCACATTGATTTAATCTTGTAATTTCTAATTTACTCAGTGAACCAACTGATTCAATATATATTATTTTTTATAAAGTATGTCTCTACTATCTATCAATCTTTGATTAAATTTGTGTCACGAGTCAAATCTAAAAATAATTTAATTCAGAAATGATAAAATTATTTTTATTTAATGTATAATAAATATTATTGCAAGTGTTTTTATCATTTTTAAAACAAAGGAATTTAACCATTAAAAAAAGAATTTAAAACTATATTTCATGATCAAACACAAGATCAATTTGTTTTATATATTGACCTTTCATCACATCACCTATAACCTTTTGTAAATTTAATTTTAGGGTAAACTATGCCAGTAGTCCCCTTTGTTTTCAATCTGATCATTGACCTTTCATCACTTCACCTATAACCTTTTGTAAATTTAATTTTAGGGTAAACTATGCCAGTAGTCCCCTTTGTTTTCAATCTAATCGACTTTAGTCACTAATTTTTTAATTAAGTACGTTTGGTCCCTAACATTATCTGTCATCCGATTCAAGTCCCTCGGCCTTTAACTTCCGTCAACCCTTAACGGAAGTGATAAGTGACAATCAAAATTTGTTTAAAAAAATCCCACGTCAACTCTTTTCTTCTTTTTCTCCAAGTCAACTCTTCTTCTTCTTTCTCCTCTTCTTCTTCTTCTTATTCTTTCTCCTCTTCTTCTTATTCCTCTTCTCCACGCAGTTTCAGTTTGCAGACAAAAACCATATCTTAGATATAAAAAAACAACTTACCTTTGTTTCATCGTTTAGTTCTTAACAACAACCCAAATCTTCATTTGCAAAAGAGACTAAAGATTAAGCAATTATATTACGTTGAGTCCAAACGTGTATACTACAGATGGTGGTTTAACATGGACGACACAAGATTTTATGAAAGAGGGGGCGAACTTGAACTTATAAAATTTTAAGGGATAATAAAATTTAGTAAGGCGAAAACATATTTTTAATAGAAAATACATAGAAAAAAAATCTAAAATATATGATAATTTTATATTTTTAGAGGGGTTGCCCTCACTCACCCCGCCGAGTTCCATCCCTATTAGAAACAAAGACAAGATAAAGCAATCTATCAATATAAGTTCACATCAAATGAAACCCTGTTTTTCTTGTTGATTAAAACATGTGAGCAAGGCACGGGTGTGTTCATAGGCCTGTCACTGTTCCCTTGTGATCCCAATCACGCAATGCTTTTAATTAAGTACACTCCCCCTCCCTTCTTTCTCTACTACCGCTTTGAAATCTTCATTTTTCTTTAGATTTGCATTTAAGAGAATAGTTTTCTATATAATATAATCTTTTGCTTTTGTTCAATGGCAATGCTATAGGAAACATGAAAGATTCTCCTTTTCTGGTGGCTTCTGGGCTCTCTTCTTTCTTCTTAGTTCTTGTTCCCTGGCTGCTTCATATGGTTCTTCTCTCTCACTTTCTACAATTGGTTTCATTGTTCAAAATATTCTAATGGGATTTTCTAAATTGGATTCTTTTTCTTGATGTTGTTGCAGATGGACCTTTATATGATTTCACTTCTTACAGTGAGGCAAACTGAGGTTATATATGCTGAAATTGTTTGTTTAAAGTGACTGTTATCTATTGATTATTTGTTGGTTTGCAGTGTAAAGCACAGCCGGAGGAGCCACTATACCAAGGAGGGATTCTCAAAGATGAGCCTCCAATTGTGCGACCGAGCATTATTGTGGAAACTCCAACCGGTTTTTAAACTCCAGCTTTTGTGTTGTAAAATCTAACCATGTGCAACGATTATTGTTTCTCAAGTTAAGTTCTCCACTTCAATTTCAAGTCTGTTTCACCTTTGTTATGGCACAGAGAGTGGTGTTATGGCATACTACTAAACCCCATATTCTGTCTTTTGTTGCGGCTGCTGCTCGGAACCAGTGTCATTACCTTCTTGATAACCGTCGTTTTATTATCAAAATAATTCATGACTTCTTAATTAAATAGAAAGGAAAAGATAGTATAGAGAAGCAGGGTCGATCCACAGGACTTATGATTTTTGTGATTTAGTAAAACTATTTCTTGATTTTATGAAAATAAAATAGAGTTACAGATGAAGTTGAAAATGTATAATAAAATAAATAATTATATATAAAAAAGAAAAATAATAAAATAATAAATATTAATAGTAACAAATATAAAAGGTGATTTTTAAAAGTTGTTTTTAAAATAAAAGATAACAATTAAATAAAAGAAAACAATTAAATAAATAAATTAAAGAGATTGAGATAAAGAGAAACTTATTGTGAAAGCAGCCTCAGACTTCAGCTTTGTCTCAAATTCCTCGGATCATCGAAACAGATTTTTACTTCAAGATTCATGTCAGCTTTACAAGGACAATTCTTCATTGCCAACTCGGGATTGTGTTGTTTCAACAATAACTGATTCTGATCTCAGTTTCCTCTTAGCAAACAATTTTGCTAAGTGTATTCTCGGGAAGTCGAATATGCTTCAATAAGAAAATCCTTCTTCAAACGTTAACCATAACAATATCCGAACCAATGTCGAAATCGTTTTCATTTGAAAAGTAAGCTCAGAAAATAAAGAGAGAAATTCGAAGCGATTTAAGTACCTTACAATTCTCACGTTTCGAATTGAGCATTCGCTTTAGCCTTCGGCTTAAAATAAAATTAGCTAAGCATGAAGAATGTCATGCTTAACATAATTGAAAACGAAATTCTAAAGAAAATAGGAGTATGTGAAAATATAGAGAAAGCTAGAGAGAAAAAGATTTAATTCTCAAATGAGAGAGATATTTTTCTAGGCTTACCCTGAGAGGGTATTTATAGTCTTCAAATTCCTAAAAACAAGCTAAAACATCTTAAATCCTAATTAAAACACTTAAACATATTTAAACTAAAATACCTACAAAAATAATATTTAAAATAATATTCTAAATCCTAATTAAAATACTAAAACATATTTAAACTAAAATACCTAAAACAAAGATAAAATATAAAAATAATATCTAAAACTTAATTAAAATACTAAAACCTATTTAAACTAAAATGCAAAGATAAAATATAATGTTTAAATTATTATCCTAAACTTGAGTTTAATTTAAATCCGAATTTCAGCCAGCTTTGATTCCAAAAATAAAATAAAAAACTACATAATTCTATCATTTTTGTTCAATTTCCAGAATCTGACGTCTTGCACAGAAAATGAATCAAAACGAACAATTAAGCCACAAAAACCAATGATTAAGGAGTAAATTTAAAAGTAAAATATTAACTAAATTATGCAATTATCAAATTCTCCCTCGCTTATTCAATGCTTGTCCCCAAGCATTCATCAATTAATACATCCAAATCACAAGTTGTCATCTTCAATTTCAATTTATTCCTCAAACTTCCAATCGAACTAAGTCCATGATATTTGCTGAATTCAAGTAACAATCAAGCAAAGGTACAACCTAGAAAATTTAAAGTAAGCAAGATATCTCAATTAATTGTCAACTTCAATGAAACATGACTTAATACCTCACAAAGATTCACACATATCCGCTCAAAGTGTTTGGGGTAAATGAAATCGCTTCAAACCGAAACTTACCAAAATATTACCATAGGCTTGAATCCAATCAAGTCTCCACTACGAAAAATGAACTAATGCAATTGATATTTGCTGAATTCAAGTAACAATCAAGCAAAGGTACAACCTAGAAAATTTAAAGTAAGCAAGATATCTCAATTAATTGTCAACTTCAATGAAACATGACTTAATACCTCACAAAGATTCACACATATCCGCTCAAAGTGTTTGGGGTAAATGAAATCGCTCAAACCGAAACTTACCAAAATATTACCATAGGCTTGGAATCCAATCAAGTCTCCACTACGAAAAATGAACATAATGCAATAATCAAGGGGTCTTTAAACAAGGTGTAATGGAGCTTAGGTTAGGGTAGGGAAAGGCCGAAAAGAAAGGTTTAAAATACCGAAACTAGAGATCAAAATAATTAAGAACAATCCACAAATTAACATGAAGCGCAATGAAGAACAAAACAAAGAAAAAGAATAGATGAAAGACGATTGAAGTGTTCAATTTTTCCTTCCCCTTTTTTTTAAAAAGGGTCTTTTTTCTATTCGAAACAGTGAACAACTTGTTTTTTTTGTTTTTTTAAACATTGATTTTTTTTTCATGGAACAACAATGATACAAGATCTCAAGTCTCGGCAACGGTGTGAAAAGAGAGGAAAAATAAAAAGAAAGGCTTCGGGTTTAATTATGAGATGTAAAACAAAGAAAGGGAAATAGGCTCAAATGTGGTTCACTAGTGGATATATAAATGGGTAGGCTTTTTGGGAAAAGTGGGTTTATCCTAGGTGTCCCTATCACATTAAAACATTACGTTCAACATGTAGTCTCGATATGCATTGTGATTACAAGTTCTAGAATATCCTAATTAGCTCGGCACACACAAGTCAAACAATGAGCAAGAAAGAAAATGTATGCTCGTTAGGCTCAAATCTCACAAGAAAAGTTTATATGCATTGAGTCAAGTTCATCTCTATCGATAAAAGCATGAGATATCAATACTCAATAAAAATTCACTAGCTATATCAATCACCAATCATGCAAATTAAATTCGATAAAAAAAAACATGGTCATAATCCAAAAGGAAGCAATAGTATAAAGTGAAATTCAAGACTAGCAACCAAAGATCCCAACATATCAACATCATAATAACTCAATTTCAAACAATTAAACAAGTCATGGAAAAATTTGACACCTGCTTATCCTTCCCCCCTCACTTAATCCGTTTTGTCCCAAAACGTATATTAAATTGAAAATCAAAGAGAGGGAAAAGGAATACTCCCCAATCTAGTGGCGACCGCGGCTGCGGCCACATCGAGACGAGTTGTTGTAGAGTAGAATGTATGATCGAGAAGACACCAGAAGATATATTAAAATTTTATTGCACTGTTCGAATCTACTATGTATTTTTCTGTACTGTTCGAACCTGTTGTGTATTTTTCTGCACTGTTCGAACCAATTTTTTCTGCACTGTTCTGTTCAAACTTTTCTGTACAGTTCAACCAAATCTTTTTTTCTGCACAGTTCGAACCAAATCAGTTTTTTCTGCACTGTTATGTTCGAATATGCTCAAAAAATAAATAAAATAAATAGAATGAAATAAAGTTTACTAAAAATAAAATAAAAAAAAAAATTGTAATAAAATAAAATAAAATAAGAATAGATCAGAATAGGTTGCCTCCCATCAAGCGCTTTTCTTTAACGTCATTAGTCGACGACTGAATTTTCATAGTGTGGGTTTCTCTAATTTGATTTATTCGATTAGACCAACCGGAGCATTTTCATAATACGGCTTCAATCTTTGACCATTAACTTTAAATCGAACTCCTGAGTTATCTTCAATTTCGACAGCACCGTGAGGAAATACTTGAGTAACTGTAAACGATCCGAGCCATTTTGATTTGAGTTTTCCTGCAAAAAGTTTAAATTTGTAGTTAAATAATAAAACCTTTTGACCGAAAAAAAAAGTTTTAAAATAAATTCTTTTTTTTCTTTAAATATCTTAGCATTATCATAGGCATTTCTTCGGATTATCCTCAAGTTATGGAATGTGCAATTTCTGAACTTCACCAATTGCATCAATGTCTATGTTACATTGTTTAACAGCCCAATAAGCCCGATGTTCTAAGGCGACCGGTAAATGACATGGTTTATCGAAAACAAGTCGGTATGGTGACATCCCAATGGGACCTTTATAAGCAGTTCGAGATTTGATACTTTTGCCTCTCCATTTGTTTGTGGATGGTAAGCATGTGCAATTCTTTGAGTTACTCCAAATTTCTTCATTAGCGACTCGATTACTCGTTGATGAAATGTGTTCCTCTGTTGCTTATTATAGCCCGTGGCGTGCAAAACCTGGAAAAATATTTTTCATAAAATTAACTGTAGGTTTAGCATCATTATTCCGAGTGCCTTTAGCTTCCACCCATTTAGAAACATAATCTATAGCTAAAATAATATAAGTATTTCAAAATGACGAAGTAAAAGGACCCATATAATCGATTCCCCGAACATCAAAAATTTCACAAACTTGTCAAGCGGCATTTCATTCTTACGGCTTAAATTACATGTACGTTGACATCTTTCACAAGTTTTACAAAATAGATAAGAATCACGAAAGATGTTAGGCCAATAGAAATTGCATTCAAGAATTTTATGAGCTGTACGTTTTGGCCCAAAATGACCATCACAAGAGTAAGAATGACAAAATTGTAAAATTTTCGCAAATACATCGGTAATACATCGTCGAATTACCTGATCCGAGCAGTGCTTCCATAAATAAGGATCGTCCCAAATATAGTATTGGAATTCTCGCTTAATTTGATTGATTTCAACTCTTGGTAATGGTAACTTACATGTGGCCAAATAATTAACCATTTCCGCAAACCATTGGGTTATGCTTTGTTCCACCATCAATTTTTCTTCAGGAAATTCTTCTCTAAGTGGTGGGTCAGATGTGGAAAGGGGAATTCGACTCAAGTGATCCGCAACCAGATTTTTGCATCCCTTTTTGTCTTTAATTTCCATGTTAAACTCTTGTAAAAGAAGGATCCATCGGATAAGCCTCGTTTTGCCTCCTTTTTGCTCATCAAATACCTTATAGTTGCATGATAAGAAAAAACATTAATTTTAGTGCCAAGCAAATAGGATCTAAATTTTTCTAAAGCAAAAATT